AAATTCAAAAAAATCACTTTATGCTGACTTTCTGGAGTCTTTTTTGCTTTTCGACATAATTCAGTTTCGTTTCGTCGACGTTTACGCTGTGCTCTGCACTTCAACTGATCTCAAAACAACTTTTTCTTCTCTTTCTTTTTTCTAAGAACAAAAAGGTTCGACTTCTGAAGCAGAGAAGGTAGGAGCTGCTAACCCGCTAAATATTTTACACCCATGGACGTACCATTCTCGATTGAATTCGAGCTGATCGAGGATACACTGAGCATGCGGATTCACGAGATCGGCCCATGTTTCGAACAAAGGATGTACAATGTAGTCGATGAAGCCAACCTGAAACACTCATTTCCGCTTTTCTGGGATATTTTCGGGAAGCAAAACGCACTTGTTTCTTAAATTTTAGCATTTTTTTTGCACTGCATCACGCCATATTATTATACTGGTAATCGTAGCCATTGATAAAACAGTGTTTTTTAGAACTTTTTTTTCACCCGATGACAAGTATTAGCAAACTTTCGAGAACAGTTCGAGAATTTAAAGGGAATTCCGAGAATAATTTCTTCCTTCCTCTCTTCTTCCGAGAAAAATATTCTGACTGGCACTGGCTTATCGGTATCGCTCGGTGAAATCACTAACTATTATGTTCTGCTTCTTGAATTCCTAATCTGGTACTGGTGCAGTTTTCTCATTTGTGAGTTTTTCGATGAGTTTTTAACAAACGCCATCAAATAAAATATCAATCTTTCCTTATAGTAAATTAATTTATAGAGGTTTCCTTCACTTAAAGAACTCAAATTCTAAATTCAACAAATTACTGATCGTTTTTTTTAAAAAAAAGAAAGGAAATCCAGCTAATGCTCCGTACCTGAGACTTCTCGATTGTAATATTATTTCGGTCGCACATTGGGGAGATGTCCAAACCCAGATCACGTTCCCTGTCACCCTGCCTCCAGTATTCCTCCATTATCCTTTCTACCCAAACACTGTACAAATCAATCGGTTTTGTCGGATTTGATAAGTCCGCCAAATGGATTATCGATTGTAGCACCTAAAAAATTGACTTTTAAAAAGTAAGCGCTGCATACTAATATTGCAGTGATCAGTTCAGAGTGCAAAACGTTTGAAAAGCTCCCGTCATTCGTTCAGTCGGTACCGACCAGGAGAAAAATAAATTGCGTACTGGGAAAAAGTTGAAAACTGCCTTTTGTACAGGAAAGACAATAAGGAAGATCAGGTAAAATACCACCCGTTCTATTTATTCCTTCATATTCAAAAACTTTTCACAAAGATTGTTAGTAACTGACTATTAAAACTCTTCGATATCAAGAAGTCGGAGGAGAAAACTATATTCCCAAATACAGCCTGAAGAACTATGTCATCGCCATGAATCAGCTGCTGGGACTCACAAAGGGGTATCAGCTCTTTTTTTCTCCTATTCATCGATTACGAAAAAGCATTCGATAGATTACAGTTGAATGCTGCGCTACAAGCACCAGTATATAAAGGAATTGATGGAAATTACTGAAAATTGTTGGAGAAATCGACAAACAGACAACACTTTTTGCACTTCACTCCCTGTGCCACAACTAAGAGGAACACGAGGCATGCGCACAGGTACCATATCGCCCAATCTTTTTGCGGATTGCATCGAGGTGTTAATTAGCAGGGTAAACTAGAGAAGTATCTAAACTAACTATGATAATTTTTCAGAACAGGAACCTGTATTCGATCGGTTTTATCCAGTGTGAGAACGGATGAACCGGCC